CCCTTGTTACCCCACTGATATCACTTCTCACTAACCTAGTATCTCACCTTATCCCTCCTTTAAAAAATCCTTAAATGACTTCCATCAAACCCATATCCATTCTCCTTTGGAATGCGAATGGTGTTAGAAATCACATACACGAACTAACAGCCTTACTACAAGACAAGAACGTAGACGTAGCCCTAATAACGGAAACTCGACTGACTAAAAAACAGCTCCTAAAAATACCACAATACATAACTTACCGTACCGACCATCCTGACGGTAGAGCACATGCCGGTACTGCAGTCATTGTGCACCAATCCCTCTCCCATCACCTACTCCCACTGCCTACACACGATTTCCTACAATCCACCGCAGTCGTAATCAAAACCTTCTCCTTTCCTATTACCGTTGCATCAGCGTATTGCCCTCCAAACCAATCCATCTCCAATATCCAATTTAGTTCCTTCCTCATTTCCTTAGGACATCATTTCATCTTGGGTGCAGACTTAAACGCCAAGCATCAACAATGGGGTTCAAGAACCACGAATTCTCGTGGTCGAACATTGCTGTCTGTACTCAATTCCCAAAATTTTACCCTTCTTCCACCCAACTCACCTACCTACTGGCCCACTGATCCTAACCGTAATCCCGATATCCTCGATTTCTTTATCCATAATGGTTTAGGTGCTCTCAACCATTCCGTTGCCCGTCTTGACGAGCTTTCCTCAGACCACAGCCCATTAATACTCCAAGTATCACTAGCTCCTATTCCTAAACCCTCTCCTCCGTCCTTCATCAGAGGCCCAGTTAACTGGAAACTCTTTCATCAAATCCTCTCCGATAAAATTGACCTCAGAGTAACCCTGAAAACCTCTGAAGACCTGGACAATGCAGTACATTCCTTCACTACCAAAATTCAAGAAGCAGTCTGGACTGCTTCCTCCCCTGATCACTCCTCAAAAATCCTTAAGAAACATAATTTACCTCAACACCTCCTTGACCTAATCCACATAAAACGCCGTGCCAGATTATTATGGCAACGTACCAGACATCCAGCCGACCGCCACTCCTACAATTATCACTGTAAAAAATTAAAACAAGAATTAGCCACCTTCAGATCCCAATCATTCAATTCCTACCTCACCACACTCTCTGCTCATGATAATTCCCTTTGGAATATCACCAGAAAAATCCTCAAATCCCATCATATTTCCCACCCTCTTCGACGAGATGATGGCTCCTGGGCAGCATCTGATGAAGATAAAGCCGAGGAATTTGCCAAACACCTTTCCTATACTTTCGCTCCTCATCCAGAATCCCATCCCAGCCACACAGTAAAAGTAGAAGAATCCCTCTCAATACCTATCCCACTCTCCTTACCACCTAAAGCTGTTAATCCCTCTGAGGTCAAATACCTTTTACGGAAAATCACTCCTCGCAAATCTCCTGGATATGACCTTCTAACCCCACAGATCCTTCGACAACTTCCATCTAAAGCCATCATATTTCTTACATATATATACAATTGCATCCTACGAACTACCCACTTCCCTCTTTTATGGAAACATTCCACCATCGTCCTCTTCTTGAAACCAGGCAAACCTTCCAACAATACAGCATCCTATAGACCAATTAGCCTACTCCCAATCCTCTCAAAAATTTTTGAAAAGATCCTACTGAAACGAATCCTACCTATAATTGAATCTTATAACCTTCCTACTCATCAATTCGGATTTCGTTCCCAACATTCCACTGTCCAACAAGGACTCCAAGTTGTTGACCATATATCCTCAACCCTAGAAAGCAAGCAGTATTGCTCGGGTGCATTTCTGGACATAGCGCAAGCTTTTGACCGGGTATGGCACGCCGGATTACTCTTCAAGCTTAAAATCCATCTACCACAGTCCTTATACCTAGTACTCCGATCCTATCTTTCCGACCGCTCCTTCCGAGTTCGCTGTGGCACCGAATTCTCCGACTGTTACTCAATTGAGGCTGGCGTTCCTCAAGGCAGCGTCTTGGGCCCCATCCTTTACATTCTCTTTACCGCTGATATTCCTGTCCATCCCGATACCCTCCTGGCAACTTTCGCTGATGACACTGCTATCCTTTCTTCCAACTCAGTCCCTGAAACAGCGTCCGCAAATTTACAAAGACACCTCTTCCTGATTGAACACTGGTGTAAGAAATGGCGCATCAAGGTAAACGAATCTAAATGTAAACACATTACCTTCACCCTTCGGCGTAATACCTGCCCACCAGTTTATTTTAACTCCATCCAGCTTCCTTTCTCAGATACAGTCCGGTATCTTGGCTTTCTCTTAGACAGACGACTAACATGGAATCCACATACTCGACTTAAAAGACAGGAACTTAACAGACGATATGGCCAGCTATATAGACTACTGAATAGAAAATCTAAACTTTCTGGTGAAAACAAATTACTGATCTACAAGACAATACTGAAACCCATCTGGACTTACGGACTAGAACTATGGGGAACAGCCAAATTTTCTAACATCAAACGCATTCAATCCTTTCAGTCTAAAGTCCTCCGTACAATAGTCAATGCTCCCTTCTATGTAACCAATAAAACCCTGCATAATGACCTTAATATCCCATTTATTCTTGATCTTATCCCAGCCAAATTTTCCAAATTTCACCAGAACCTTTCTCATCACCCAAATCCCGTTGTACAATCCCTATCAAGCACCACCCATCCCTACAATCCCCTTCGTAGGTTAAAGCGGCAGTGGCCACGAGACCTTTAGTAAATATGGATATTTTGGAGTTCTAGCAATGGCCAGATTCTCCACTCACGTCATGAGTGTCTGTGGCTGTAGCGCTCTTACTCATCCTCCGCTGGTTTTAAATACCAGTGAAGTGGCTGAGGGAGAAGCGTAGGGATCTCCTAAGCCTCCCTTTTCCCTCCACATGTGGAGGGGACAGGATTGGTTCGGAGAACACCTGACAAATTGTAAATAATGTATATAGGTATGTTTTATATAAGATGTTTGTTTTACTTTTATTTCTATTTTTATTTACTTATGTGTATATATATATTTTTTTTTCTTTTCTCTTATTTTCTTTTTCTTTTCTTTTTTATTTTATTTGTTCTTTTTTCTTATTCTTTTGTTATTACTTTATTTATTTATATTTTTGTATATACGGTATGAATGTACTCTCTGAACTCTATTATAAGTGTCCTTAACTGTGACAAATTGTAACGTTTCTGAATAAAGTGTTTAAAAAAAAAAAAAAATTATTGTTGTAGACATCTCAATGAAGGTTTTCGAAAAGTTTTCAAAGAATGGATATAATCTAAGAATTTGCAGTGCAGGAAATTTCCAGAAGTTCCAAAATTATCTAAAATGTTAAATGGTTCCCGATGAACCAAATAAATGTTGTTTTTTCGTATTTCTATCCTCTAAAAAGTGGAAAAGCATTTTAGTGAACATTAACAAAGATTTTATAATAATTCTGTGAAAACTGAAATTATTGGTTAGCCAAATTAAGGCTAAATTGTACATATTTCTCATTAATTTAATTAAATTCAACTAAAAGAAAATCCGTGGATAGCTTAGACCTGATTGAGTATTGGTTGTTTTAATCCAGAGAAGAACATAAAAAGTGTTATATCCATTTGATACTACTGTGTGTAGTCCGTTTGGAGAAACGTTTCAATCAAAATCTAAATAGAAAACTAAAGAACGTGAAGGACGAGCGGCACTTGTTCATAATCTTTAAATGTCCAATATAATAACCACTAAGTACCTAAACTACTAATAAACGCTTTTATGAATTTTATGTGCGAATCTAACATATGTGCTAAAAACATTAATCAATTAATTGTATAAACATATGTATTTATGCTTTATGAAGTTTCAAATTAACATTATACGGCTCTAACAATTTTAATGAAACTTTCTTCTAATTTTCTACTAAAAGTCTTTTAAAATTTCGTATTTTTAGTGAATTCTCGAGACAATTCAAGAAAAAAAGTTATAAAGAAAAGAAAATTGTTTTGGGGATCTAACTCACCACGTATATACCTATCGGTTTTCAACGGATCTAAACGTTTCTGAGCCTATTTTTCGAAAGGTCATTAAATTTCTGACAAAATTGTTGACATAAAAATCATCTGAATCGGACCAGTTTTAGCTGTTATAGTATATATTGTTTTTTATAATCTGATTTTGAATATGGTTCACTTGCCTGTTTATATTGCTTGTTTCATCCAAGAAGTCGAACCCTAATGATTTCACTGATTTTTAGGAAAATGAATCTGTTTCAATTGTTTTGTTTTTTTCTAATAGACACATTTAAAGTTATATATATTTTTTTAAATATATAGGAAAGTCTTGTAAGTGGAAACAATAGATTTTTAATTAAAATTATTGGGAACAATATATAAATGGTCTTTACTCTACAACTCTTTCATTCCATATAATCGGAGGGATGGATGAGAGTTATCGTTATCTTTCTTTATTCTTAATTTTATTGATTTAGTTATACTTTACAATGTTTATGTCAATAAAACATCTAAATGTACTTATTTTGTAGCGTTTTTATAAGATTTAAAGTAGCATATTTAATAAATAGCAATAAGCTGATAGTTAGCTGCAAGACTCTTGCGCAAGACCAAGACCAAGAATAAGTGCGCAAGACCATGACCAAGACCGCCTAAGTCTCGTCTTGGTCTTGCGTTTGGCCAACACTATCAGAGACAGTTGTTATACATATTTATACATTAAGATAAATGAAAGTAAGCAACGAAATATGCATTGTTTACATGAAAGCCGAATAAAGTTTAAAATGGAGACTTTAAATGAATTAATGCACAAAGGCTTTTTTAATAATGTAGCAAAAAAAATATTAGATAAACAATTTTTTTTTAAACTAAACTTCATTTACAATTTCCTCTTGACATCTATAAATGGCCAATATGTTTTAATGATTTTAAGAGTCAGTTGAAAAAAATATATAGGAGATTGGACATATACAATAAAATAGAAATAAAACTATATTTATTTATTACAATGATATAAGTGGGTTTCGAAAAGACAAGATACAAGAGAACATTTTATTTTCGAAATATAATTACCACATAATAAAACAAATACACAACACTTCCAGATTTTTCTTTGCATCAACTAGATACAAAAATCTCATTTAATAAAAAAAAAAAAAAATACAAAAAATTAAACTTCATAAACAATATTTATTTAAATCTTAAAAAGATAATTTAACTTAATAACTAACATAAGATAAGTCAATAAGGCGGTGTATCATGTCAGCTGTTTTCAACCAGCTGGGACTTGAGGTCACCAGTAAGGTTGGCTATAGTTCGATAGCACTATCGATAGTATCTGTAGTCGCAACTATCGTAAAAGCTACCGATAATCCTTAATCTAATGCTGACATCACACTTTTCCCAAAAGTATAATATTTTTGTCTGTTGGAATGTTTATGTTGTATGGTGTGATTTAAAACATACTACCATAGCGTGTTTAACCGTTTATTGAAGAATTTTGGATTGTGTGTTTGTTATTTGGTTTGTGTAGACTTGTTTTCCTGAGCCCTCCTCAAGTTATGTTCCTCATGTCCGAATAGGTTTTTGTATAGTAATATGAATCAGTCCCCTGTTTTGTAAGCTGATGGAAGATCTTTAGGCCAGAACAAGCGACAATCGATTGCATCGTCTTGCCATTATTAACTTTTTAATTTTGTACCTCTCCTCTCAGTTATTTCGACGTGAAATAAAGCTTTCACTGTGAATAGCCGACATGGTTTGATTAGGAGGGATTTGATTTAATATTTTATCCTAAAATTATTACCTACCTACATCCTAAACATAAATAGCAAAAAGCAATTTTTTAATTAGTATTTTTTTTTTCTCTTTCTTTAGAAAATGGCAGAACCATGGGAATTCAAGCCCCTGCCTTCATCCAATTTAAATATAAACATTAAGACCAATCGATCGGTAGTAGCGATAGCTTATATGTCGAAACTATCCATAGCCAGGGCTATCGAACTATTGCCAATCCTGATATTGAGTCGCATGCTGATTGCTCGAAACGTTTTAACTTTTATCTAAGTACGATAGAAGCTTCTTTTATATTTCCGATACTTCCTGCAATTACTTCGGACATGTTTACAAAAAAATTTGGGAAAAACTGAGAAATAACGTAGACCTCAAGAAGACTATATAGAACTTACATTTTAGCGATGTCATTGGTCCCACGTAAATGCCCAATCTACAAGACAGGGCTATACTTTTTTTTATATTATATACATAATTAAAATTAAATTAAAAAAATTAAATTTTCATCGTTGTTTTATTTAAATTGTCTTTATTATACGAATAATAGTTTGATATACCTAATTGTATATATTCTATTTTTCTTCATCTCCGTTTCATCTCCTCATTTTCCTCCACACTCTCTCTGTCAGTCTAAGCTTTTGGATATTCCGATATTTTAATGATGTGATATCCGATTCCTATAGTTAGCTTGATATTTTTAAATACGGCGGTATTGAATATTTTAAGACGTTTCCAAGTTCTGTTCGAGATCAATTGGAAACCACTTTGTTTTTTTTTTGTTTTTTTAAGCGTCACATCGGTTGATACTGTATAAAACGTTTTATTTATCCCTGTCATCATAGGCTATAAATATTGACTGCTTGATCGCATTGCGGACTGAGAAAGAAAACGAATGTTACTGCAAGTGGAATATACAATGAAGACTGTTGGTGATATGGTGATATTACCTACTTCAGTCAGGTACAAAGGTGTCCCTATCAAATCGACTAACAGTGATCACAATTATATTTTTCTAACATAAAGTGGTATGACTGATATACGCAAGTTTTTATTCTGAACATAAATAACCATAACATTCCTGTATACAGAATCTGATAATTCTTTTAATGTTTTTTTTTATAATTTTTTTTTCACGATATCCAATTGTTGTGGCCAGTATTAGCTAGGTGCAAGTAGTATAGCAAGTCTTACGGACATCCGCTAAAATATGAGAAAAGTCAGGTTTCTGTTCTTCCTGCTGTTGTTGAGGTTGGGTTTGCTCCTCAGTTGGCTGGTATTCTTGAGCCACTTCGTTCACGGCCAATGGCTGGGCCTACGAACAATATGAGCATTTTTTAAAAATAATTGATAGGATTTAAATTCGTAAAAAAAAATCATTCAATCAGTTCTTTATTGGAAAATTATATTGTTTTACTCAAACATTTATGGAATCATTGGTGTAAAAAAATAAATAAAAATAAAGCAATTGAATAGCGGTCCAAAGGGCAGTTACCTGAGGATAATAATATTGGCTAGGAGCCTGGTAGTTGTGATTGGAATCCAGATCTAGGCTCTGTTGTCCTCCGCCATACTTGAGATATTTGTCCAACTCATCTGGTGAGTCTAAATCCACTTCGTACAGTCCTGGGACTGCTTCCATGCAGCTAGAGCTGGCCGTGTAGCGACGTTCCAGCTCTCCTACAAAGTAGCATGAATTAGTTACATATTTTATACGTATGTTATTGTAAGGTAGATCAATCATTTCAATAAGTCTTTAAGTGAAATAATTTAGTGATACAATAAACCTAAAACTTGTCATATCACATCAACTACGATCTTTCACCATTAAATTAGCAATTGGTACATTTATAAACCTGAAGCATCGCATAGGATAGATCACAGCTCATATGATTTACAAATTTATTCTTTGCAGTACTCATCACATTCATCAATCGATGGATATTTGTATAACATCTACTAAGCAGGCTTATTATGAAGCATTTATTGAGTGTAAGAATACAAAAAGCGAAATGTTTGTTTTTATTGTTCAGACGCCGCTTTTGAAATAATGTTCAATAGCCAACCAAAATCATAGTCGGTGCCCAAGAGGACATTGAGAAACTCGCTAAGACTCTGTAGAATGAAGATATATGAATATATATGACATTAAGCGGGAAATTCCAGCTCAATAACAGAATCTGCGTAGAAGGAAATTCGTTCCCGAGTGTAGAAAAATTCAAATAATTATGTTTCATAATAATCTCAATGAACAACCAACGGTCGAAAATGGATCGTTTTAGAGCACACACGGAGCTTTCTTGTCTCTTTCAAAGGTATTAAAATCACGAAAAATATCTAAAAATCAATTACATTGAGGCTGTACAATGATATGATAAAGATATAAGGCTGCGAGAACTGAGCACTAACCACCACTCTAGAATGAAGTATTAAAAGAATTGAGAGAAAAATCTTCACTAATACAACACGACAACCGGAGGGATCTTGAATCATGCGAGTATTAACGCATGGAGAACTACTTGCAGAAACTTTCAATCGATATCTCATGTTATGAAAGCAAGAAGGTATGCGGTGTATGAAGCTCAAATCAATCCATCAGGATGACTCTAATGAATGCCTATACGAATACACAAGAATGAATACCTCAGTAACAGTCATGAGACACCGTGGAAGGCCAACAAGCAGATGTATAGATGGAATCAACAAATATTTAATAAAGCTGCATGCAGATAACTGGAAAGAAATCTAACATAGGCAGAGAAGGGAAAGATTGGTTAAGGCCTTAAAAGATCTACAAAGTGTGTAAGGCCTATAGAAAAAAAAAAACAGTAGGTTCATTATTTCATGGAATTATAAAGCCTAGACGTACTGTATTAACAAATGATATCTCTCTTCTCACGAATCATACTAATTACAGAATTTCTTATAACATAAAAAGAATAACTCAATCTTTTAAGTGAGTGTTATATAGTGTTGCCCAAAATCGGTCGCCTAACTGTTGCAAGACCAAGACCGGTAAAAAAAATTGATTGTTTAAATAAACATTAAGGCAAAATAGTTACTAATACTCGATAATTTTAGTTACTATATGTTAACAATTGGTATAACCAATAGACTTTTGCATTTAACTCCTTTAATTTTTCATTCGGGCTTAGTTAGGTTTCTCCTATCTAAAACAGTACAGTAATATCTCTGCAGTAAGAAGCTAATAAGTAACTGCAAGACTGTTGCGAGATTCTTGCGCAAGACTGAGAACTCTAAGAGGAAGACTAAGAGGAAGACTTAGTTTGCAAGACCGAGACGAGTCTTGGTCTTGCAAACTCAGTCTATAGTGCATTTAGGCAACACTAGTGTTATATGTCAAATGAGAAGATATATTTAAATTTCGTCAGTTTTGGCAAAGGATTTTCGTTCCAACAGTTTAAAAATTTTCCGGTGGACCGAACCGTTAAGCTATCTAGGAACGACAGTGCAATGTTGGACTCTTGGCGAACATCACCCCCGCATCCAATGAATCATAATAAAAAAAAAATAAATAAAACCATTTGACTCCGCCCTCACCAGTGGAAGAATATAAGGCAATGTAAACACTATAATTCCACTAAAGACCTGTAGTTAGCTAGCTTAGGGTCTATTAAGATCCGAGATAATGGAGGCGTGGTCTGCCCAACAACCTCTTGTTCGGCTCTAATATAGGCTCAGCTTTCCTTGGCACCTCATCGGCTCAACCCTTTTCTACAGTTATTTATTTACACTTATAACTAATAATAAGCAAATATTGTATAAAAAAAAAAAACCATCCTTGTCCTGTAGAGACGGATTCAAAATTTAGCCAATATTACTGATTGATTTTTGTTTTTATATTTCTCATGATTTATAACCAAGGGCCGGATTTTTATGGGATTGCATATTTTGTTTGCATGAATTTTTCGACTTGGTGATCAAATATCTTTACGAATCAATGTACTCAAATGAAATTAATCAAATTTTATATTGTATATTTTTTTCATATTTTATGATAAATCTATATAATTCCAGATTTTAATCATTTCACATAAAATATAATAATAATAATTATAAATAATAAATTAAAATTGAATATACAATATTGAAGATGAAATTTAGTACGTAGGTTCGTTTTCAATCATAAAAAAATAAATAAATAAATAACAAAATAATCATAATAATAATATCTTTGTAACTTTTTTTTTTCTTTTTCTGTTTTTTTATCATCCCATTTTATTCTTTTCAAATTGATAAATACCATACTCAGTTTAAATTTCTTATTTTCATCTACACAAAGATTTTTCATTATTAAAAGTTCACCATTTTGTTGAAAATTTTAATATTTGATCCACTCTTGTGATTCCAAAAATGAATCAGTTTTCAAAAGTCATTCTAAGGTTCGTTTTTACTCATTTCATTAAAACAAGTTCCTATTGAAAACAGCAAATCAATAATTTTAAATGGATATAAATATGATCCTTTCACTTATGATGATATATACAGGTCATTTCCTTAGTATTAAAATATTTCAAACTATAAAATATTAGATTTGCTGAAAAAAAGGTTGCGAGTTTAAACAAATCCATTGACGTTTCATTTATTTCATTAATGTTTTAATTTTTATTATTGATATTGCTAATTTCCTTTTATTACTAATTATTAATTTAAGTGTATCTGATTTTAAGTTTTACTATGTATCTCACATTGTGTTTTTAATTATTATTATTTATGTGATTTGCTTTTATTTAACTCGTTTTTTAAATATTGTTCATGGGTTGTATTTTTTATTAACAATAACCAACATCACGTTTTATTTGTTACTAATTGGAAACTTTTATTACTTTGGTATTTTACTTCTTGAAAAGTATTCCGTACTATGTTTTTAATTAATTATCCGATATTTTTCAAATTATGTACTAACTAATTTTGTTGTAATAAAATTTTTTTTTTTTAGTTTCTTTTTTCAGTTCAGAACTCTTTGTAGGCACATTAGTGTAAATGAATATTTTATCTCTTATTGCATATTTTGTTTTTTTACTAAGTATTTAACGGGTTTTTTTTTTTTGGTTTTTTTTGCATATGGCATATTTCGTGGGTTTATTTACTTCATAAAAATCGGCTTATTACTTTTCTTATTTAATACCTGGATGAATCAGTTAAGGAAAAAGGGTTCAGTATCATGTTTATCTAATCATTGGTGGTACTATCTAATCTAATTATAGCTGAGCACTTAAAATTCTCTTGGTCAACCTATCCTGACGATAAAATCTGAAGAAAAAACTTATTATATTCCTCGCATATATTTTGCTTATGGAAAAATCTAGAAGAAATACTGAAACTGCCGGCACCGATCTTGTATAATTTTTTTTTTTTTCGTTTTTTAAAATTATATTTTAGGAAGGATTCGTTTACTATCACGACCGAACGATTAGTAAACGATTAAATTGACCTTTCCTTCTCTAACTTAAGATTTTAATATATGTTTTCACTCAGCTTATAATGCCTTTAAACGTTTCTCAATTTTAGGTGTAATACATCCTTGGTTTATTGTAAAAAAGTCATTAACAAGAGGAGGCTAAAGTTAGTGGATCACCGATTCCCACCAAACTCTTTTCGGTGATACTATATTGAAAAATATTAGACACATCTCTCGACGTTCGTTCCAATGAACCCTAGAAGCCAAGAGAAAATATATTTTATATTATTTAAAAAAAAAAGGTTTTGTTATTTATTTTTTCCTTTGCTCTGGCCGGATTCAGGTCACAATATATCAATCGATTTCTTTTTTTGTGCAGAGCAAGAAAAAAATATTGACTATTGTATGAAATGATTTATACATCATAAATTTCAAAAACCTAAAGGTACTTCCACTAAAGTAGGCCATGTAAATTTTTGTTAAGAGAAAGCAAGTTAGATTCGTTTCAAGGGCCCTTTGAAACTCTTAAATACGAATTCTTATATAAATTAAAAATACAACCTTTAGTACTTGATTTTCTTGGATGATTTTCTTTATCCAAAAATCATTGATTTTGCCTGGTATTTTTATTAATTTCCTCAACAGTCCTTTAAACCGACCTGGGGCGCAGAAACAAGCTTCCGCCAGGCTTCCCTAGCGGCAGACTTCTCCTTCTTTTTCTACCCATACGGCTGAGGTCTTCTACATCGTCGATTCACAGCAGTCGGGGTCTTTCCCTAAGACCTGCTCTTCCTGGGCGGTTATAGAGAAGTTTCCTCGGCAAACTATTCTCCTCCATTCTCTCTACATCGCCTAGCCATCTGAGCCGGCTCCTTTTGACTGTGGCTACTAATCTGTCATCATAATACAGCTCATAGAGTCTATTTTTCGTATTCGCCACTGGTCATTTATTTTCTCTGGACTGTATATTTTCCTTAGAACTTATTTCTCCCAGATTGTCAGCAACCTCTCACTTACCTGTGTCAAAACTCATGTATCACACACATAGATAACGACTGGCCTTGTAATGTTTTTATAAATTATTACTTTGGTATTCCAGGTCAGTTTGTCAGCTGTAATTCTGGCGTTCATTTCGGCCTGCATTTTGTTCTGGTCAGACACTATCGCTACGAGGCATTTGAATTATGTTCCCATTGGAAAAAGATGCTGATTAATTTTAACGTATTCATGCATTGCTACATTATTACCAAGTTGCATT